TCCGTTGCTCCGGAATTCCCGACCGAAGTACATAGCCGACTGAGAGAAAGAGAAAGAAAGAGAGAGAGAGGAGAAGAACTCTCTGGCGAACGGATAAAACGCCGCGGAGCGAGAGAGAACGAGAGAGAGAGAGAGAGAGAGAGAGAGAGAGAGAGAGAGAGAGAAAGAGAGAGAGAGGAGAGAGATTCTCATTGTGAGAAGGGTATACGTGTACACGGTAGACGTGAGATCCGTTGGACCCGCATGCGGACCTTATTATGTCCCGAAAGGGCATATACAGTAGGTACCTTAATGTCGGCACGGATGAAAGCGTGGGCCCTCCTTTGTCTTTCGCTCGCGAAGCTGCCACAGCAAGTAGCGTGCACTGCGGGTAGTCCTGCACCATTCCTGGGACTACCGTTCCAGGTTTCTCTATCTCGTTCTCTCTCTCTTTCTCTGCCTCTGCTCTTGCGTCTCTCTTTCTCTCTCTCTCTCTCTCTCTCTCTCTCGCAAATCACGGAAAAGTTAAAAGTACAAAAGAGAAGAAGAGCAAAATGTGACCTTTAGGGTTTCTGCGCGTTTATAAATTCATTTAAATTTTGTGCCGAACCCAGCAGGAATTTGAAACTGTTTATTTTTATCGGTTTAAATTGCCTAGACACTAAATGAATTGTATATAATAAACAACCAGTTGCTCCAGTACCAGGTTTTATTCTCCGTGTCCTACAGTCGAAATCAGACGAGTTTTTTTTGTGTATATTTTTTTTCAAGAGTGAAGAAGCCTCGATATTTTTCGAAATAAATTTTTCCGCAAATTGTCGCGCGAATGCGAGATGTCGCGTTGCGATTCCGATTATTTGTTATTTGACACGATGTAGGATCATCGCTGTAATCACCGCGAAATTACGTGAAATTGACGTACAATGCCGCGCAATTACATCTGCTCCCTTTTAAAATCATCCGGGCACTCTTCTTATAGTCTTCTTCGAATTACGCCGAGCCGAACGAGACACGATCGGACGAGCCGCTTCTGCGGAAAGAGTTCTCCGCGATGGCACCACGGTTGGTACCCCCCCGGCATAAAAGGCGGATTCCCGGCGCATTATTAATGTCAGGACGTCACAGGGCACGTAGCTGCATATTCCGTTGAAAGTTGCATGCCGAGGCGCAAAGCCGATTCGCGGCAACAACGACGACGACGACGACGACGACGACGACGACGACGACGACGACGACGACAGGCTGCCACGCGGAGACACAATATATAATTCCACGCTCGCCGATAATTATTATGACTTCCTAAGTTTCCTGCCGCACAATGGGTCTCGTCGCTGCCGGTTATTTCGAACTTATCCTTTCCGCGCGTCTTTCCCCCCTCCCCCAAGAAGCGAACCTGTCTCCATCGTCTTTTAACGGTAATAAAGTGACATTAGCCGGCATGCGATTCCGCGATAAACTTTCGAAATTTATTCGTCCGACCCTCTCGATGTCCCCTCTGCCCTCTCCTCCCCCTCATTCCCCTTCGCGCAGCGCATCACGCGCGCTTCTTCCTTATTTCTACGAACGATTTAAGTTTTTCGAATTCTCCGGTAAATGTTGCGTCAAACTAATCGGCCGCTATGGCTGGCACGTAGAACACGCGGCTCGCGGGAGTCATCGCATGCGGCGACTCGAACAAAGTGGCTTGCGCGGGAACCGCCGCCACGACTTCTCCGAGTTTCGCATTTCATTTCTATCAACACCTCGCGGTATAAAGAATAACGCGCGTCGACGCTCGTTATTTTATTTTTCTTCCATGTGTGTATGTATAACACAGTAGGAAACTTCTTTGTTCTGTGTCGCAAAACACGTATTTTCGACTCTATTTCTCTTCGGTTATTCTTTTCTTTTTTTTTTTCAACGAATTATAAATGTCAAAGCAAATCTTTTCACAAAACGACGACGATATCGATTAAATCGCAACGTTAAGAAAATTCACTATTCCCTCATTTCGAGGACCTAATTTATGCGACTCTCGATCGAGCTAAGTTTACAGTTTGGCGGCTAGCAGTACCACTCGACCTCCGGCGGAGCGTGACAGCGCCGGGTTTAAAGCATAAAGCAAATTATAACTGGGAAAAGCGGGATGTCGTGCAAAGGCGCACACCTACGCACACGTACACAATATACATCACTGCCACATACACGAAAATCGGTATCATGACTAATCCCCATCGAGCCGCTTCACTCTGATTTGCCTAATTAGGAAATGCGCGACACACGAAACGGGAATAAATAACGGATAATTACCCGCGTGATACATATTTCGGCAGTAACATATTTTTGTTTTGTTCCAAATGATTTTCTTTGAAAACAATGCAGATTCTTTTTCATTGAGAGAATTAGAATTAGAACTATATTAAAATTCAATTATTCGATACTTTATATCAATTGTTTCCCTCTTCTCTGATGTGTCAGTGTGACAGAACGCAGCGCGCGAACATTTCAAATGTTCCATTTTTCAACTTAATTGTTGTGCACAATTTTTCATTCATCGACGAACAGTTTACTTCTGGTTTTTCGATTTATTTTATTGTTAAGATTATTATTTATTGCCAACTATTGACAAAGTGTTTTGTTTGTATTAAGTGGAATTTTTGCCAAATTGCATTTTTATTTTATTGCGTGTTATATCATCAATACGTCATATTTGGTAAATACTGATTTCTTTTTCTAGATTATTATTTTGTATCTTTATATTGTTTGTTTACGCGACTAATTGTTGTAGATATTGAAAGAAGAACCAAAAAAGCAAGAATAATTGCAACACAATTAAAATATACATATATAAAATACATACATATATAAATTTAATTGATTTTTGTTTTAATTTGACACGCTATAGTGCTCACAACACTTGGTTCTCATCAGCTTTTTTTTTTTTATACTTACGATTGACATCTTAGAACCTACTGATTTTTTTCAAATAAAAATTTTACGTAATTATTTTTACATATCTATTTTCTATCTATTCGATCTGTTGCCACAATTCGCGTTTATTCGCTTTGCTTTTTATTAAACTAAATATCAATTCGGCTGGATTTTACATGTCACCGGTTGAGTGACACAGCACGTCGGTACGACGCAGGCACTGTTCGAAAAAGAACAAGAAGTGCTATCGCGTCCCCGAAGAGATTCTTATTGAATCGCTGCAATTATCCCTTCGTGAGTCTTGCAGAAGAAGAACTTTTCCCGATAATTTTTTTTTCTCCGATTTGTAACGTTACGACGACGGGAACGAAGCCTTTTCCTCTCCCCTTCCATGAGTAACAGCCATGTAATTCCGGAAGGCGACGATAGTTCGTGCTGTCCTTTCCGGAGACAATCCCGAAGAGACGTTCTCCTGCCGTTTGTTGTTCTCCTACACCGTTCGGACTCCGACGTAGCTCACGCAAATTTGACGTTAACATCGCGGAACATTTAATTCGTCTCACGTGCAGCTTGAAATGGCACGCGATCGTTCGTCCCGCGGAATATATTTCAAGATGCTTCATTGTCACGGTGCGCACTTCAATCCGACGTTAACCGCGATTGGCGCGTAGCACGTACGTAGTGTTCGATCTCGAAAGAAATAAATGTGCGTCGCAGAGAAAGAAAAAACAACGAGATCTTTTTGCCGAGAGAGACGCGATCGGACACAAAGCGCGTCGAGTGAAATTTATATTCCTGTCGCATTATCCTTTAACGACATACGGACGGTTATGGTTTCCGTCCCGGCTGTTTCGCAGACTGGTACGAGCGAGAACGGCACGCGCGGGAGAGAGGGAGCATCGCGCATTGCAAATCTAATTGTTTAGAAATTGCACGAATCGCGAACAATTAGCTGCATGCGCGCGCGCGTGCAACGACTAAATTAACGGCGATTATTTCGAATCGTAAGGATCATTACGACGGCGTATTCGCAAACGGTTGAATAATTCGAATTAATATCACAGCCCGCAAAGAAAAAAAACCGCTAACGATCGGAATATACTAACTGTCTCGGCGAAGAATCCGCGTCTTATTCGAAGCATGCCTGTGACCTCAATAGCAGGAAGGTAGGTAACGTAATTTAAATATGTGTAAGAATTGATCGCGCACCACAGAGAGTTGTCTGGAACGCGACTTGTGGCAATTATCGAGATATTTCTTGCAAGTAATTTTTTAAAACTTGTGTGTGTGTTCTTTTAAAACTTAAATATTAAACTAATATTTTTCTTTTATATAAAAACAAAAATCACGTTAAATCGACTGACGGTCGCGCGGCGGTCTGACGCGCGGTGACACGCGCGTTGAGAAATTATCCGAAAGACTTTTAAAAGTTTTTGACGCGAGGGTACAAGAAGCGAAACGTCGACGCGAACTTGGAGAAACTTTAATAGGCACGACGCCCGTCGGAAGTAAGAAGGACAGAAGCGCGCGACGTGGCTCAGTCTTCCTTAATTTCCGAAAATTCACACGACAGTCAAAATTTCAGTCGAGATCAACCCCGCCGTGGGCGCCGCGCGAGTATATGTGTATATGTATATGCGTGAGCAACGAGACAAAAGTCGTACAGGACGGTTGACGTTAACGACCGGCTGTCACGACAGCCGGCACGACGAAACGAGATTTTCGCGAAGCTCTTCGCGATAAATCTTTGAGACAGACATAATCGCGGCGCAGAAAGCGCTGCACGAGCACGATTGGTCGGAAATTAATGAATATCATATGATGGATCGCGCGAGAGCATGCATCATTCGAAGTCTTTGAGTGCGCGCGCGGATTTTATTGCCTTTAACAAATGCGGACTCGCGAGAGACTCATGAAACGCGGGGTAAAATCTAATAATCGTTTCATTACGCGAAAATGCGTAATAACATAATTAATATAATAATAACTTTTGTGATGTAAATATATATATATATACAACAGATCAAATCTTAAATATGATTGATCGATATTTAGTTTTTAAAAACTGTATATTATTTTTATATTTAACGTGAAACACAAAGTGCGCTCACCTTCATATTGATCCTGCCACGCCAACACTCCGCAGAGAAGCGCCAGTGTCTTTCCGCTCCCAGTGGGACTTTCTAGAAGACAGTTCTGCTCTTTGTTGCACCCTTGAATGAGCTGCATACATAAATTTTCAACATGAGTGATGAAGTAATGCAATATCAATGTAGTTAACTACATATAAATGATATGATATAGTTACACTGTTGATCACTGCTATTTGACACGGATACGGCTTGGCAGGAAATTTGACCTTGGTTCCAGCAATCATAATATCATGTTGTATTGCAACTTGTGGCGGCAAATCTGCCTCCTTGGAACTGATGCTTGTTACATCATCGTCGTCATCCAAGTTTATCACTTCACTTGTAAACTTTTGTTTTTTGTTACTTGCTTCTTTAGGAACTTTCTTGTTGAATCCCAACCCATGCGAGGCTTCTTCAGTCCAATATCTACTCGTGCTGGGTTTTGTACCAAGATGTTTTGGTTTATGATGCCAATTAAACATAGTCGTTTGAAGTGTCTTTTTTTCAGGACTCTCTTCACTTGCAATACCATCTTCACTGGTACTCAGGTCATCCGATATGTCATGAACACATTCCAAATTGCATGCCACGTTTAAAGGATCTGCTATGTTATTTGATTTATTGATCGTGTCCGTATTTGCTACGTTTGCACTGTTTTCTTTCTTCAAATCAAAACTCTCGTCATTCGACACATCTGGCATGTTGTATTTTTCACTTGCAGAATAGGTTTCACAGTGAATGCGCTTCAAGGATAATCTCCCTTGTTTTTCCATGCTGAAAAGAAAATGTAAATGTGATTAAATATACACAATCAACGAATAGGCCTGAGAGATTTTGTTTGAGACAAAACTGCAGCACCACAATAAACGTTAAATCTTTGTAAAAAGATCAAGGGATATACTCTCATATTGCAAACCTAACCTATACAACGTTCTTAAAATACAAATTATATAAGTAGACGTACCTTGAATTTCCAAACCACTCATCAATCGTGAATTTTATCAAAGTGAACAAAAACGTGATTACAACAGCAACAATGATGTATGTTGCAAACATCGAGCAAACACTTGTGGAATGCCAGTGTGTCTCTTTGTCGAACACGTGTGTGTGGTAGTTTTCTGTTGTTGTGTTTTTTTTATCTTGCAATCTCGCGATACCTATATCAGACGCTATTGTTTCTGAAGTGTCGATAACAATTTTTCTGCTATCTCTCGTTGTGAGTCATGTCGCACAGTTTTTTTCACGTGAATTCTCGCTGCAGACTCTAAACTGTCAAAATCCGGCGCGAATAGCGAGATCACGTGAGCTGGCTTGAACGTGCGCTTCGATAAGTCCAACGCGCACGCGCGCGTCTATCTCACGTCTTGCTATTTCATGGCGAAAATCGCTTCGGTGCGCGCTGTGCTCTAACTTTTTTTTAGTGTTTTTTTTATAGTGTCGTGTGTTTTATTCATCGAGAATTGTTCCAGAGTTCGAATGATGCTGCGGCTCGATGCTACGTCATCAATCCGAGTAAGCGCGATTAGCCGAATTCGCTGTTAGTTTGAATTTTTTTGAACGAACATTCACGCGCGAGTCTCACAAAACGCCGGCGAATCCATCGACTCGACGACCGGTCCGATTCAACCCATCGATCGAACGCGCGAGATCAGTCTCTCCATTCTCGTAAGTTTTGAGAAAATATTTGTTTATTCTCCATCGGCGTGATAATCATATTCTCATGAAAAATGTAATACAGTCGCGATTTATTACCAGAGCGCGTGGAATATTCCTTTCTCTCTTTTCCGACGCGGGGCGCGCGCGCGGCCATTTCAAAAGTATCAAACTTCTCTGATTTGCATTTGTTTCTCTCGAGTTTCGAGAACGGGTTGCCTGTCAAAGCACCTCACGGCCGGAATCAAAAAACTCACGGCCAGCGTGCGCGCACGCGGAATGAAAAAAGAGGCTCTTCTCCGGATAGGATCATCGCCCCCGAACGTGAATCCTTATCAAATTTATATCCGAAATTCCCACGCGCGCATCCCGGACCGCGCGCGTACGTCAGTAGCGTAAACGGCGTATCAGGGGGCCCCGTCACGTACGTCGGGGGCCACGAAATTGCTCACTTTGTGACTCACTTTCAACTCACGTGCCCGCGCGCACCGAACAATCCCACCGACTTCTTGCACTTTCACACGGTTATGATGTATATCTTAACGATCGCGCGTCGGCGTAAGATACATTCGTCGAGAATAAAAGAGACACGCGGTGAGTCCGCGACAGACCGAGTTTACAGAGTTTCAGCACGAAGAATGTTTCTGAGATATACTTCGGCACCACTTTTCTCACGTTCTTGTACGCGCGCGCGCATACAGAAACAAATTTAATAAATATACAAAATTACTAAAATGCAAATATCTGTGTAAATCACAGACGTTTTCGGACTGTTGCTGATAAAACTTCGTCGTAATAAATTCCTATTCGCGCTATTCGCCGAATTTACGCGCCGGACCGTAAGTTATGCACACTCGGTGTGATACTACATAAAACACGCCGAAGGGGTGTTCGCCGAGTTATTACGATTGAAACGCGGCAAATTGCGCGTAACACCCTTCGTCTCAATCAGATGACGCTGAATTAAATGTAGCCCGGCGCTTGAGATCGATAGATCGTTTTTTTTTTGTCTGTTTCGTTTCCCTGTTTTTTTTTTTTATAATTTCGTACGACAGCCGAATGAAATTCTCAAAACGTCTTATTTCCGTAACATATGTGTATAATCACATTTCTTTTTTTCTGCGAACAAAAAAATTTGTTTGTTCGAAAGTCGAACGCATTTCTGTTATAACACAATTCCATTAATGCGCCATTCCAATAAAGCCGCGGCAAAGAAATGGATTCACCGCCGTCGTCGCCAACGAACATAAATACTTTCCGCCAAAACGTTGCCAAAATATTTTCACCCCTAACTAAAAGCGACCCCGAGCGATCCCTTCGAAAATAGGGATGTTCCTTCTCTCGTTGGACACGCGGGGAATTCCGTATCTCGACTTCATATTTCGTCGTCACTCCCCGTGTGACTCCGCGACAGCGAGCCGCGTTCGTTCTCGTCTCTGACCACAGCAGAGAAAGAAAGAGAGAGAGAGAGAGAGAGAGAGAGAGAGAGAGAGAAAAAAAAGAGAGAGAGAGAAAGGAAAAATATGAAATATAAATAAAACATATTCTTACCGGCGGCAAGTGCAATAAAAATGCGGGGAGATCAAGAGGGATGCCCAAGGAATACGAAATAGGGTCTCTTTCTCCCCGGAATCCTCCGCTCGTCCCACCCGCTCGCTCCTTTTCGGACCCGTATCCTATCTCGCTGTTCCTCCTCTCGTCCTTTCTCTGCCGTTTCTTCTCTCTCTCTCTCTCTTTCTCTCTTTCTTTCTCTTTCTCTCTCTTCGTCGTCCCTTCGCTGTCGCGTCCATATTCGTGTAGCTGCACGACCGTAAAGCCGCGGAGCTGCGGTGATTGCTTGGACAGAAGCTGAAATATGCCCTTATTTCGGGACGGGCCTGCTTCCTTGTATTTACGATGGCACAATGGGCCCATCTCTCATCCGCGGCGCGGCTCCTCGTTCTCGACGACGTTTCATCCCCCGTGGCTATACCGCGTCCCTCCTTCGCGGAAACACTTTTCGTAATGCGCATAATTTGTCCACGCTGTAGCGCCGTCTAAAATTTGTGGAAGGAATCCGTCACGCTGGACCGTCGCGATATCATCGTATTAATCTGGAAGCTTATCCGTCGCAAGCTCAAACTTCGTAAATTTGTCTGGCGAGACATTTGTTTGAAGATATGTTTTGCTCGAAGAAAATAAAATTAAAATTGTCGTTTCCACGAGAAATCTAAACTCGATCTCTTAAAATATTCTTTCGACGAGTAGTCGACGAAATAGTTTCGTGAGAAGCGTATTGGTGAAGTGCGCGAGCGTTGACGATGCGTTTTCTGTCGCGATGACGCTGCACCCACCGACGCCGCGTAATCGCGCAGAAACGCGATTGGGGTACGGGCAAACAAGACAATAAACCGAAGAAACGGCTGTCCGAAACTTAATTAAGGAGTGGCGGCTGCATCCACGCGAATCGCGCCGTCATTTCTTCGCCGAGCTTTATCGGTCGCTGCTTATCTATCGGCGGCGTCGCGATAAGATAAGACGAGCTGCCCCCGAAGGGATTGGGATAGTCATCTCTTGGACGAGCACCAAACTTGTGCAATCCCGCGTTTTCCGCGGGGAAGGGAGGGGAGGAGGAGCGGTAGCGATGGGGCGAAACCGATATCCCTCACCCGATCACGTAGAACTCGTATACTTCATCGTGCCGTTATTAACGGTTGAGTCATTGCGCGTTTCTACAATTCTGATACAATCTTATCTTTGCAAACATCTTTGTGTCTCTCTTGATCCTGTATTTTTTTGTTATAATTCTTTTTAAATTCCGAATTATAGTATTATTTTACGATATGAATAAAGATTTTTATTCGTTTACATTCGTAATTTTTCTATATTTTTTGTTATTTGTATTTTACGATTTCAAAGATATCAACGTGCAGCGGCGCAGAGTATACAGCACGGCAAATTGTTTTGCGAAAAACAATTCGCTCTCGGCGAAAATAAAGTCACAAACCCATTGCTACCCACATACGCGGCCGCTTCGCCCACTCCTAGAGCAGTAACTCTTCCACTTTCCTTGCTCGAGTTCTGGCCGTTTCTCTGTCCACCCTCTGTCTGGCTCCGCCGATCTCCCCCTCCACACCCGAACGTTCTTTCTCTCTCTCTCTCTTTCGCTATTTCTCTTTTCTCGCTCTCTTGCCTCGTCCGCCGTCCGAAACGGGTGAAAATAGACGCTAGAAGGGCGGCGGAGATGGAGGGTCAAATTGAGTGCGTCCGTGTCCAGGAACAAGACCGAAACTAAAATAAAAGAATCATGCTGGCTGGGGCACAGCGACGACAAAACTGTCCGCTCACGCGAGAACGGCGGGGATATTTTGTCCAGAAGAGCGCCGGGAAACACGATTTCACAAACTCAAATTGTCTCCAAAGACGAATTCAAATTTTGACGGCGTTTCAATTCCGTTATTTATAATCGAAAATAGTTTTTCCGCGTAACGTATCGTGAAATATTCGTCAGAAGAAGATAAAAACAAATAGAGAGAGAGAAATTCGAACAAATGTATAAAAACGTACACATCAAAAGTTTTGCAAATAAAATCACAGACGTGAGAGAGAGAGAGAGAGAGAGAGAGAGAGAGAGAGAGAGAAAGAAAGAGAGATATCGTCGGAAAGTTTCGCAAAAGTTACGTTTTACGAACCGCGAAAGACAATAACTTCCCGACCGGGGCAAGCGAGGGACATCGATCAGATGTGATCACGGTGGAATTAGCCGTCCCTTGCAGTGTCCTAGAATTCCTTCGCTCTTTTCCGCTTCTGTGCTATCGTCGCCGAGCCACCCCTCCTTCCCCTCCCACGCTTCTATTCCTTTGCCGAGACGTTCGAGAGACGATCAACAATCACCCTGTTACCGTCGGATATACAATAAACGATAGTATATATATATATATGTATAACACACAGAGGGAGAGCAAAGAAAAATAATTACTTAACAGAATCAGTAAATACTATTACTTCCGGTGCGGATTTATACACCGCACAAGAGACATTTCAACTTTTCTTGACAAATTGAAAGTAATCGTATCTCGTTTCTTTGCTGTATTGTGAAAATCTCGTCGTTTTCTCTTCGTCTTCCCAACGCAATTCGTTTCTCGTCTATCTTGTTTGTCTATACTTCTAAAAAAAAACTTCTCTTTGTCGCGAATTAATTTCCGATAAACAAATATCTCGCTCAATTAGCTTTGTTTTATTTAGAGGCAATGTATTTCCTTCCAAATTTCTTACCTTTTCGGGATACGAGCGGTTCGTCCGCCGCGTAACGTCACTTTGACTACCCGCGAGCCGCAAGCAAACGTATTAAATTGAGAAATTGATAGACACAAGAGTTGATACAAAACCTACTTACAACAAAGTATTCAGACTAAGAACGTAACTGAAAAACGTAAACAACCCGATGGTTTCGGCAATTGTCGACTATAGTCGACGCTCGGCCGTACACATACGAGTACATTCGGCGGCCGTCGACTAAAGTCGACGCTCGACCGTACAGATACATTCGGCGTTCGTCGACTACAGTCGACATTCGTCATCAAGAAGTTAACGTCAAGAGAAAGAACAGCCAACAGAAGTTCGATCCATCTCCCACCTTCTTCGGGTCGGGAAATTTT